CCACCCTAATGTCTCCAGGTATTTCCCAACCCAGGGCTGGCAACCAATGCTCCCTGTAAGCTCTGGAATCTTGTGAGCAAAAATTCTCCTTCGTGAGCTTCTGGCATGAAAGTTGTGAGCAAGCGATTTGGCCGCTGCATCAATTAGTTTGCTTTGGAGCCCTCCTTCCTGAGCGAAGAGAACAATGTGAGAGCCGGAGGCTAAAGAACTGTGAGCTAGCTCACACTAACTCGGCTTAGAGGGAGCACTGCTGGCAACCGTAGCCTGGGGAGAGGAGGGACTTCATTGGGGCACATGCCCTACATTCGACCTAGGGTTGCCAGCCTCCAGGTGGGGCCTGGGGATCTCCCGCTTTTACAACTGCTCTCCAGCTGACAGAGATCCGCTGGAGGAAAACGGCTGCTTTGGAGGATGGGGTCTATGGCATTGTCCAACGCTGAGGCCTAGGGTTGCCAGCCTCCAGGTGGTCTATGGCATTGTCCAATGCTGAGGCCCCTCCCCTCCCCAAACCCCATCCTCTCCTGGCTCCACCCCCAAAGTCTCCAGGTATTTTCCAATCCAGATCTGGCAACCCTAAGCCGACCCTCCACGCAGCCATTGCTCCCGGGGGAACTGATCTCTGTAGCCTGGAACTGAAATTCCAGGAACTCTCCAGGTCGCACCTGGAGGATGGCAACTGCAAACCCCCTAACCCTGGAGGGGGAAACAGCCCTTTCCCGTTCAGGAGGCAGCGCGCATGCGCCCCCATCAGTCGTTCGACGTGGACCGCGAGCGGCTTGGCCGGGGAGGAGAGAGAGTGAGAGCGGATCTGTGGTCACGTGAGGGGCCGGTGTCATGTGACCGGCCAAGATGGCGGCGCCCCTGCTTCGTTTGTGTGCTGCGGCGTGAGACGGGAGGAGGAGGAGGGTCAGGTAGGCCTTTAGGCTGGGACTGGATCGAGGCCGCTGAACTCAACGGGGCTGGCTTCCGAGTAGACGTGCATAGACTGGGGAGAGGGAGTCGCTCGAAGAAGGGGCGGCAGGAGAATGTTTCGCATGGGGGGTGGTGGGGAAGCAAGGGCAGACGGGAAGCGGACCATGTGAGTGTCCAGGGAAGGGTGGAAAGCAGGCACGCAGATGCCTTCGGCATGGCAGGGATCCTGACCTGTGCGCCCCGCGTTTGAAATCCGAGTCCTCCTCCTGCAAAGGGTTTTCAAGCGAAATCAGCAGAAAGGGTTCTCCTCCGGCAGAGCGTTCTCAAAGGAAATCAGCAGAAAGACATGACGGCTGTTTTGCTGGGGCAGGAAGATCGTGGGCTGGCGCAGGAAAAGAGTGTAATAATTTGGGGGAGATCGTGAGGTGTGTGTGTGTGGGGGGTGATGGAGAGAACTACCCCCCCACTGCATGTTCTTGTTATCTCGGAGTTCAGACCTCCACTGCCTCTGAGGGAATAGTAAAAAGCTCAGTTGCACCTTTCAGACTGAAAAACTTTATTGTAGTATAAACTTTCGAGAAACACAGCTCTCTTCGTCAGATGCATAGAGAGTACCCTCCATGCATCTGACAACGGGAGCTGTGTTTCTTGAAAGCTTATGCCACAAAAAAGTTTGTTAGTCTTAGAGGTGCTACTGGGCTTTTTACTGTTTTGCAGCAACAGACTAACACAGCTAACTCCTCTGGATCTATGCCTCTGAGGGTGGAGGTTTTGAGGAGCTGCTTTGGGGTTGCGAGTGGTTGTCATCTCTAAAGCAAGCCCTTGATCATGGTCCTTGTTCCCTCTGTCCCTTTTCCATCTGTCCCTGTTTGCTGTAGAACAGTAAAGTCTCCAAGCTGAAGTATCTTTATTTTTCTACATTTGGCCATGATTCTTTTGTTTCCTAACATACAGAGGATGTTGGCAGAGAGCTTGTATCTCCAAAAGATGCTGCCCTTGGAGTTGGTTCACAGGTTCTTGCACAAATGCACCCCCCACACACACACACCATTCTTAGCTGTATGTTGGTCCACCACACTTGAGCATGTCTGGTACTAATTGCAGTGGCACATTTTAAACCTGCTGTGCTTATAGGAGTAGTTGCTGGGAAACAACCACATGCATTCAGGGAGATTATGTAATCCATGCACTTATTCCTTTGGGATACATTGGCCCTGTTCGCATGGTGAATATGCTGCAGGAGAGCCACGGGTGGTGGGTGGATTATCCGTGCGCGATCACAACATCTGGGAAGTGGAGCGCACCTGTGTCCAACCCGTGGCTTACCGCCGAAAATGTGCGATAAAAAAGTAGTACCTCCAAAGTACTGGCAAACGGTTTACCACGGGATGCCTCCGGATGCCAGCGGTGTGATCGCCCTGGCACGCGGCTTTCCCCTCCGGCCCCTCGTTTATGTGCCGGCTCCGAGGGAAGGACCCGTGGTGTGCTGCCGGCATGGCTGATCGTATAATCGCGGATCAAACTGCGCCGGGGCAATTTGCCATGCCTCCCCCCCACGATATCCGACCCGTGTGACCGGGGCCATTATATGGAAGGGCACTGGATTATGTGAACCAGCCAATGTTAATTGATGCCAGACTAACAAGGAAAATGGTTTGCACATTGAATATAAAAGCAAAACATCCTCTGATAAAACAGACAGGCAATAAGTTAAAGTGGCAGAATTCCAATGCATGATGCACAGCAGGGTAGATAAAAATCAATGATTTTTTAAAAATGGATTTTTAAAATTTAAAACTTTTTTTAAAATTAAGTCATATTTTAATTTTTGAGGGAAAATCTATAGTTTTCTATTTAAGACACATTATAGTCCAAAGGTTATTCATTGTGAAATATGGTTTAGTTTTTAGTTATGTAACAAATTTTTTAAAAATGGATTTTAAAAATTTAAAACTTTTTTTAAAAATTAAGTCATTTTAATAGAACGCTTTTTGAAGGAAAAGCTATAGTTTTCTATATAAGACACATTATAGTCCAAAGGTTATTATTGTGAAATATGGTTTAGTTTATAGTTATGTAACATGAGGCTGTATATTCATGCAATGCTTAAATTTTTTAGTAAATTAATTCCATTAGGTCCCCTGTGGCCACCGGTAGGGGGTGGGGGGTTGTCAGATCCAGGTTGGGAAACTCCTGGAGATTTGGGGATGGAGTCTGGGGAGGACAGGGACCTCGGTGGGGTGCAGTGCCATAGATTCCACCTTCCAAAGCAGCCATTTTCTACAGGGGAACAGATCTATGTAGTCTGGAGATGAGCTGAAATTCTGGGGGATCCCCAGGTTCGATCTGGAAGCTGGCATCCCTAGAACCAAAACCTCCATTTGTTTAGAGCCAATATGCTCTGGCGGGCAGCGGTGATTTAACATCAAGCAATGGATAACCCCGATTTTTTATTCTTCCTGTGGATCTGGACCCGCTGGTGGCACACACCGAATCTAATGATTTGGCCTCACCAATGGGATGCATTCTTTTTCCAAGCCCACGGCATTATCAGTGTGTCTTCGGATGGGCAACAACTCTAAAATAGAAGGCTTTCTCATTTGACGGGATCCTGTCACCATAATGTTTTAATTGATTTTGATCTAAAGCTGTGTAACAGTGCCCAGATTTTGAAGTAACGTAAACCAAATGACAAGACAGTTGTGGCTAATTGCCATTTGCTATTATGGGACTGAAGGAAGGTGCAGAAACCACTATTTGTGAAGTGTAACCTGTGTTCCCTCTAAACTGAGTTAGTGTGAGCTAGCTCACAGTTTTTTAGCCTCCAGCTCACACATTTTTCTCTTAGCGCAGGAAGGAGGGCTCCAGAACAAACTAATTTATGTAGTAGCCAAATTGCTCGCTCACAACTTTAATGCCGGTAGCTCACAAAGTAGAATTTTTGCTCACAAGACTCCACAGCTTAGAGGGATCATCGTGTTCCCTCTAAGCTGAGTTAGTGTGAGCTAGCTCACAGTTTTTTAGCCTCCAGCTCACACATTTTTGTCTTAGCTCAGGATGGATGGCTCCAGAGCAAACTGATTTATGCAGCAGCCAAATTGCTCAGCTCTCTCACAGCTTTAATGCCAGGAGCTCACAAAGTAGAATTTCTGCTCACAAGACACCACAGCTTAGATTGAGTATTGATCGTAACTTACTGCTATTAGCATCACTGAAGAGGACAGTCGAAACGAGAGGACAGTACACCCGGGATCCTTGTGTGATGAATCCTTCTTGAATCCTTAAGCTTGAATCCTTCTACTATCCTCAGAGTTCCATTTTTGTATGTAGAATATCATATTTTGATATTGTTATAAGGGACATTGATTGTCTAAAGAATTACGGATCCTTATTCTTTTGTACTCTGATTTCCCTATCACGGAGAGCACTGTACTTTGATATTGTTGTTTTTGATATTGATTACCAAATGACTCTGGAAGTTGATAGATTATAGATACAAAATTACATCATATACTAATTTTAAAACATGGTTTATGTGTCCTAGATTTATTTAATTTTAGCACTATGGTTACAGTGGTATTGTTGCTCTTTATATGATTACCGATATATCTTCTGATGGGCAACAGCTCTAAAATGTAAAGCTTTCTGTCTTTTTTATCATTGACCTTTTATTAACATTAATGTTCCCTTGTGAGCAAAAAATCTACTTTGTGAGCTACTGGCATTAAGGTTTTGAGCAAGCTATTTGGCTACTGCATAAATTAGTTTGCCCAGGAGCCATCTTTCCTGAGCTAAGACAAAAACGTGTGAGCTGGAGGCTAAAAAACTGTGAGCTAGCTAGAGATGTAAAATTTCCGGAAATTTTGAAGCTCGGGAAAAAACCCGTTTTTTTTCGGGGGAAAACAGAAATTTTCTGAAAAATTGAAAAAAATGCTACATTAGCATTTCTTTTTTCTTTTCCAGATTGAAAGTCATTCTGTTCCTTTAGGAACATAAAATATGACTATGGACATATTTACTTGGCATGAAATTATTACAACTAGCATATTAAAAATATAGTGTATCCAAACAATTATTACAAACAGAAAACCCACCCCCATGCAAAAACAAAACTGAAACTTTTAAATTTTCTTCTGACAATCACACCTCCTAAAGGAAGAAATGCATCTTGTTCTTGCCTTGGAGAGTTCAGTTTGTAACCTAGGACTTGCTTGTCCTCAGTGCACAGAAATTAGATCAATCTGATACCATACGTATTTTTTAGAAATGATTCGGAAAATATTTGAACACCTTGTCTTAAAATATTTTACTCATCATGTTAAAATAAAACGTTCCATAGTCAATTTATTTTATTTTATTTTTTCAATTTAATAAAAAGCAAATGTGCATATTTTTCCAATAAAAACATGTGTGTGATATTAGTTCACGCCTTGCGGCTCTCAAACATCTAACGTTTGTTCTGGGTGGCTGTTAAGTTAAGGAAGTCTGGCCACCCCTGCCTTAAATTGTAAAAATGTAATCAGTAGCACTCTGCGATTAAAAAAACCCCAACAGTACGATAAGGGGAGCGGTGGCACAGTGAGTATATCCCACTGCCTTAACGTCCGAACTGTGTCAGTTCGAGCCACGCGCTGGTGTGAGCAGCCAGCCTGTTGTCCCTAGCTCATCGTCCACCCAGCGATTCGAAAGCCTCGGCGAGTAGATAAAATGGGAACCACTCCTTAGAGAGGGTGGGCACACCAACTCCCCTGTGGGAAGGTGTTAGCTGTTGGTTGGGACATCCT